CACGAATAATATAATATTTTAGGATCATTAAACATTTCAATTGATATATTATGAATATATTTAATTGGAGAAAAAAAAGTATTTTGGTTATATGTAATATATTGTAATAAAATTTAAAAGTAAGAATATATTATCTAATAAAAATTGTATACTGAATTAATAAAATTGCGCGAATAATCATGAAAAATATATATTTATAATAATTAATTTTTTGTAAATAATTTCTCAATGATATATATTTTGCATTAAATAAAATAATGAAACGTTACCTTGCCATCGCTAGCATCAGCCCATCGTTTTCCAAGACCAAAATTATAAACCGGTAACCTTTTATATTCGGAAACATAGGTATATGCCCTTTTCTCTGGTGGTTCATCGAAAACCAGATCCGATATCGCTTGACTGAGACGTTGGGTGTGAGTGGACGAAGAGGAAGAAGAAGGTTCTTCCATTGCAAGAACAGTTCCCTCGAGAATAGCGAACATTATGAATACGATCACATTCAACGTCATCATCTTTTCTCTCTTGAAGACAATACTGTAAAACAGAAGATACATAAGAGATATCGATATCGATTTTCTACGGAAGACTTTAACCAACTTATGTGGAAACCTAAAGTTTACCATCGTGTATGGTAAATTGAATCAATCGTATAAGTATTATACCTGTCAAGTATACTATTTTAAAAAAGAATTAAATGTTTAAATGGAAAAATGATATCTTAAATTAATTACATACGAGATGAAATTGTTTTAATAATTAAATCCAAATAACGTTTATATGAATTATATATGTTTTTAATTTTTTTTTTTTAGATATTTAAATATTACACATAATATAATTTAATTTATTATTAAATATATTTATGCGCCATTAGAATTATTTATGATGACACAAGTTCAATTATAATAGTAAAAAGTAATAGTCAATTGAAATTGATATGTGTCATATCTTTTTGTTATTATAATAATAAATTATCGGGGGGGGGGGCCTATTTTATTCGTTTATAATGAAAATTATTAAGAAGTATAGATTTATATTTGTTAAAAAAAAAAACAATAAATTCGTTCGAAAAAGTGTTAACATTTCGTCAACTCTCTTTGGAAGATTACGAAGGAAAATTAATTATGGTAAAAAATCGCGTCGGTCTGTCAAACTTGTTATTTACGATAAAAAACAAAAAGAAATGAATAAAATAGATTTGATATAAAATATAATAAAGGAATAAATACGTTTTTGAAAAATTGATGACCGATCGAATCGTCGCACGAATCAAAAAAACAAAACAAATCTTCTAACAGTCACCTATCTTTTCAAAAGCACACTATGTTTATGCCTATTTCATTATAATGTTTCCTATTTTACTTCGAGATGTCAACACATAAGAGACAGTTACAATTCGGCCTTCCTATTGTACACAAGTCGGATTCAACGCGTGGTACGTAACAATATATTATTCGTTTTAATATTACACAACAATAGTTTACTAATTATTTATAATTATTCATCGTTTTAATTATTATCGTTCGTTCATCAAATTTAATTACCTTTCTCTCACCGTTATCTATTAAATTAGTTGTCAAATCAAATGTGAATTGTTTTTTCTTACACGTATTAATCACAATAATTATTAACCCTTTGCAAAATCAATTGAAGAAACAAAGAATAATAGAACAACATGTAAATAAGCATCTAACAATAAGCCAAATTAAAATCGTAATTAAATTAAAGAGGTAAAGTTTTTTGTTATATAAAACACTTGTAACAATGTTCGTCATTCCTTTTTTTTAATCCATTTTATGCATTAATTTTGTACATAACATAAATTGATATTTTAATTATCTAAATTATTAATCTTTAAAATATTTCTTATAGAAAAAAGTATCCCGAGGATTAACATAAAAAGAAATTAAACTGTTCCAACGTGAACAAATAATTTTTAATTATCATTTTATTATCGTTATCATAAAACAAAAGAAAATATAGCTTAAAAATGTCTTATTTTTGAAAAGGATACTTTCGTAAAAAATTCTATCGCAAGTTTCCCCCGTTAATAGATGTATTTATGAATATGTAGTATGTGTGTAATATGTATGTATGTATTATGAAGCTATGTAGTAAATATGGACATTACAGTATCTCAAACTTCTATGAATATTAAAAGTTTCTGCGACATCGATGATAGGTACGAGATTGTCGTTTCAAAGCCAAACTAGTTTCTCTGTTAGCTTCTGGGATACTTTCGTTGGATATTGCTCTTACTTCAACACATATGTGTGCGTGTCTGTGTGTGTTTATGAGACGTGTCGAATATTCTTAACTAAATTTCAGCTTATCCCTAGAATATAGAGAATCGCATTACGCATTTCTGAAAGTTCGACGAATTAGGTCGCCCAACGAAATTGTACGTCGCATTAAACGTAAATCGTATTGTCAAATATTTATTTGATGATTTTCGAATTAATCTTTGAATTCACGAAAACGTTGATATTTTTAAATCTTACCATTAATTAACTCCTTATTTCATTCGCGACCCAACGAGTTGCAACATTTTCTATTCTCTTTGAAATTAGTCATGCAAAAATATATATATATATATTTATACTTGGAAACGAATTAGAGAGAGAAGTTTCAATTAATTATACGGGTTAAAGAAACTAACTGAAATGAAATAAATATGTAAACTAAATGATCGGATGCAAATTTCTTCCTTCGTCGTTGTAAGTTAATTAGAATTTTAAGAGTTCGCGTATTTAGAAAATTCGATTATTGTTTACGTTTAATTTACATGAAAAATAAATAAGAATAATAAATAAATAAGAATAATAAATAAATAATATATTCCACGTTTCTCTCTCGTGTGTTGCTCAAGTTTCATTTTCTCGTCGTTAAAATATATTTTTTACGTGCTAACGAGCAGCATGAATCATTCAAGCAACGCGTCTTACGTTTTTATTTCTTTAATTTAATCTTTTTTAATTCCTTTAACGAGAACGAAATTATAATACAAGAAGAATTAGTTCAAGACAAAAATTACAATGTATTATACTTTTCATTTCGAATGTAATAAATCTTCAATTACGGCAGGTTAAAATAATTTACCCAAAACTGCCTTTCATTCCGAAAGAATACTCGTCAAATTATTTTTACCATTCGACATACCAACTTTTGAGAAAACATTTGTACTATTAAACCGATAACGAAACAAATTGACTTATTTATGAACATCAGGCAAACTTATTTATAATTATTTTATAATCGTTTCAATTTTAAAAGTAACGAGGAAACCTAATTGTTCTCATTAATCAAATATTACAATAGAGTAGTATTACGAGAACTATAATATAACCAGAGTACATAGACTATTATGCAGTTGTTTCGTAATCAGAAGGACAAAGCGAATCAGAGTAATACTAAGCTTAAAAGCTTTGGTGGTTGGTGAACCAATGAAAGAGAAAGTGAGAAGGACAGACAGACAAACAGACAGACAAATAGATGAAGAGAGAAGATGAGATGAAACCAGAGATTGGGCAATGGTTAACCCCGAATCTATTGAGTGGTAAAACCTAAATCCCCATTGGGAAGATCCTTCAATATTTGACCCTGAATCTCAGCGAATGAAGATATCCTCCTTTTCGGTTTGTCCGATCACGTGACCTCCCTGACCCACTGCAGGCTTAACCTCAAATCCAAGAAACGAATACGTGGGCTAAACCTTTGACTAGATAAGAATTATTTCCTGAAAAGTCGATCCTCTTATTTATTATTTTTTTTCCTTCCTTCCTTCCTTCCTTCTCCTTCCTTTTATTTTTTATTATTTTACTCCTTTTCTTTTTTTTCTTTTTCGATCTTATTTCCTCATATATTTCATTCTTTTTAGTATTATATTTGATATTATCTTCTGTTTTGTTAAAAAATATCAAATAACATTTCACTCTTTTATACAGTTTTTGAAGATATTATTATTCTTTCCTTTTTTTTTGCAGATTTAATAGATCATCGGCAAAATTATGTGTTCATCGCAACTAGGTTTAATCCTTATTAATTTTTGAACGTGAATACTCGTAACGACGGTATTGTTTATTGTTAAAAAATAATTTAATTATAAATTTCACACGTAAATATAAATATAAAAAATAAATGTAAAGTGTGTGTGTGTGTCTCGAATTAATAAGAATTGCAAAATATATTTTTTGAGAATATTAAATAAAATTGTAAAAAAATTGTAGAAAAAAAAAGAAATATTTTGACGCAAAAGGGGAAAGAAAATATCGTTGATAAGAACGAATGACGATTGGGAATGCATGAAGGTAGAAAATTTAGTTTCTCGCGTGTAACATTATCTCGACATTCAATACTAAAGTTGCTCTCGAACTTTTATGAGACGAGAGATTACGAAATGATGTTTGCTGAGAAAATAAGGGTGAGAAAAAAGTGTATGTATGTGTGTGTGTATATCTGTCGTTACTTCGTCACAACCCTCGTTAAACGTGAACATCGTCGAGTTTATCGTGTAGAATAACGAGCTAGAATTGCGTCCTGAATTCGACTGTGAAAAATCGTTTTCAAACGACGTGATTATTCTTTATACCGATATATTTTTTTTTTAAGGGATGTAAGCGAGCGCAAAGATCTTAACTTCGTACGTTTTCATACGAGGGTTCTTACAAATTTTCACGATTGTCAAAGGGATCGGAAAAAAAAGAATTCGTTTTTCTCGCTAAAGTGAAAAAAGAAGAAGAGAAGAAGACCAAATCGTAAAAGTAACGTTAAACGAACTCTATAGAATTTTATTCGTTTTTTTTTCTTTTTATATTGAACCTTTGGAACAAGATATTTATGCAACGTTATTCGGTTTGATATAAAATACAATTGGTTTCCAATAAAAAAAAAAAAAAAAAAAAAAAATACTGGTATTATTTATTATATATTATATAATATATAGAGTTTTTTCTATAGAAGAAAAACAAAAAATACTGATATTATTTTTTTAATCGTTGCTAATATTTTATTCGTAATAAATTGAATATAATCTCTCGCAATAAAAGTGTATTATTGAAATATTATTTATTATATATTTTATAAGAATACGCAGAGATTATTATCCGTTCGAACGTTCGCACACAAATGAATGTTAATATTTTATTAACGAGTTGTTTTTTAATCTTCATTTATTCAACCGACAAATTCTCTGCAAGAGATTTCAACGTTGCAAGAACCGACTTTAATTTGATTCGAATCTTATTCGCAATATTCACGTTCTTGACGTCTAAATAACCTTTCGAGGTTGTTTAAATAGAAAAAGAAAAGGAAAAAACATGGTTGACCGAACGATGAAAGAAAAAGAAAAAAAAAAAACCATGAGATAATAAAGTCTTTTTCGGTCTAATCGAGAAAAGTGGTTGTTCGAGAAGATTGCATCACCAAAAGTGGTAATTACTACGAAATTTGTCATCGTAAAAAGGAGTGCTTGTGAAAGTGAAGAGTAGATCCTTACTCTCTCTAGGAAATCACTCACCAGGTCCTTCACACAAGAT